TTTTTTTTTTTTGGTCCACAATTACCTTTAATTTGCACTATCCTATTTGTAAATGAAAGATTTTATTTTCAGATGTCAATGATAAGCCTGGATATAAAGAAAATAAAAATTCTGATTACAAAATGAATGTGTGCTGGTTTTCTATTGAAGGGTCTACCCGGTCCTTCTCAAATTGAGCCATTCATATCCCATGGAAGAAATTGCCTGGGCTCTGTGAAGATTCCCACCCTCCGAGGTGGTGGAGAGAGGGATGTTCTGCTGGGATTCCACCACTGCTTCTGAATTCACTAACCACCAGGATTGCTCCATGTTCATGGCTTTGGCTTAGCATTAGCAGGAAGAATAACCAGCTTCTCTTAACAACAAGAGAGTCCTAAAACATGTCTTAATGCACCAGCGGCAGCACCCGGCTGAGGGAAAAGTCAAAGGTGAAAAATTGCAATGGTCTCTCAATTGCAATGGACTGTTGAATCTGCGCAATTATAAATAAATCACAGCTGCTCTGACCATTTTTTTTCAAGCTAAACCTCTGAATTCCTTGCGAGCCGAACTCATTCGAGCATCTGAGCTCAAATAGCTGTAAGTAGCTACCTCTGGGATTCCAAATGTGTCTGTCCCTGCGTGAAAGATAAAATCTGTGATTTAACATTTAGATGTCCTTGTTTGGGGTGCCAGAGAAGAATATGAAGAGTAAGCCTAAAAAAAGGGAAAGCTGATGGGTCTTACTGACTTTTTTCCTTGCATGAAAACAAAGAAGGGATGTCTCAAACCATTGCAGATAAATCAGAAGGCCCTGCACAGATATGAACTCCAGGACTCCAGCCTGTTGTTTCAGGAGCACAAACCAGACATTTCTTTGTAGTAGGAAGTTCACGGTGAGAGGGAGCTGCAGTGGTGCTGCTCAGGGGGTGGGGGCAGGAGAGTGGACGAGGTCGGTATTGTTTTTAGAAGGGGCCTGACAACACACAGCCTGTGCTTGGTTTCAAGCCAGGTCTGACACAGCTTTGCTGAATTTGGGTGGTTCCTCCTGTTCCAGCTGATTTAGGTCCTTGCTGACCTCTCATATATCCAGGGAGCTGCTGAATTTTTTCCACCTGGGTGTGCTGACAAATACCAGGTACTGAGTTTACTGAAATTATAAGGGGGTGCAAGCCCATAGAGCTGTAGACTTACCCAGATTTTTCTTTCTTCTCACTGAGACGTTGTCTTTTGGTGGACTACAACAGAAGAAACAGCAATGGCATCAGCAAAAAGGGGAAAAAAACCCCACCCCAAATACAGCAATTCTTAGGAAAGGGAGATAAATAATCATTCCTGTTAGGCCTTTGAACAGCATGTGCTAAACTAGGAATTGTTTGGGCTGGAAAGGGTATGGTCATAAGCAAGGTGCTTCCCAGCACCCTGGGAAAAAGGAGGGGAGCTCACACTGGCCGTATCTTTCATCTGTGAACTCACCACTGTCAGGTACTGAGGCTAAAAAAACACAGCAGAGTTCAGGAATTGTATATTTTCAGGACCACTACAGAAGCGACGGTGTTTGTACCCAGAGTCTCTTAAAGAGGTTCAGGCCACGCGTCACCTCTCAGGTAAGAGGGAATAGGAAGAGGCTGAATTTCACAAGCTGCTTTTTTTTTCCAGGTTGTTCAAAAATCTCTTCCACGCTGGGGGAAGCTCTCACTGTGTTGCCTCTGGGATACGGCATGGTACCAACAGATGAACCAACATCAAATAAAAGGTGGCTGACATTTTGGTTGTATGGCCTTACCTATAGCACCCCAACCGGGAGCTGCTGCTGTCCTCCTAGCTACTGGCTGACCTCCACGCATTAGGCTGTAAGGCACAAAATTCTTCCTTGGAACATTTTGTGGTGTCGAACCTTTCACAGAAATATCTACCTCCTTCTGAAGTATTTGATAAAAAATATTGTTGGAAATAGGACTCTGAACTTCATGGTTTTCTGGTTGCTATTCCTAAAATCTCTTGAGTAGAAAGATAAAGGTATCGGTGTGCTGGAAAACCTTGGCAGGCTCTTTGGCATCATCTCCCGGTATAAATTTTTGAAGAAGCTGTTTAACCTTGTCTGTGCTATTTCCAGCCTGCCATGGTATACCTTCTGTGGCTTGGTGGAGAAGGATAAGGGCGCATTATGCATCCTGGGCCGCTTTTCAATGGATGAGTTAAGACCAAAATCCTGGTTTTGTTTCCTGATCATACGCGTTGTTGCTGTTGTCTCTCACGTCACAAAGCTGTCTGATGTGCAGAGAAAAGCTTGGTGATTATGATGGGAATTGAAGAGATAAAAAGATCCTACCTTCAAAGACTAAAGCTTGCCTCTTTCCAGGCTTCCCAGATCCCAGTCTCCCGTGTGGGGAGGGACGGGGGCCCCTGACAGCATGGTGTGGGTGGCTGATGCTTGCCTTTCCCTGCAGCAGCGGCTGTAGATGGAGATTCCAGACGGCACGTGCCAGCAGCTCCCCCAGGAGCGAGGCTTATCCCCGGCCAGTTTACAATTACTCGCATTTGGCTAGCTTCAAATCAAAAGAAAATGTCCCACTGAACTACTTGATCTCAGTGGACTTGGAAACTTAAGAGAAAGAAACTGCACTTCCTTGTAATGCAAAATAACATTTAACTCTTTAGAGTTGGTTGGTGATGATCTGGTTGCATACAAACTGAGAAGGACCTATTTCTTTGGTCTCAGTGTGTGCTCCATCAGAGACGCTGCAGACCGGTATGCTCAGGTAGCAAATGCTCATCCAGTGTTAACGCCGAACTGGGTATAGAGTTATGGGAAAGTTTTTTTCTGTAGGGCACATTTTGACCTCGGGCATAAAGACATATTCATAATGGAGTTTATTCGGCATCTTAAATAACTTCAGCAGCATTGCACAGCATGTGTCCTCAGGAGAAGGTCAGAGGAGTCCCAGGGAAACTCTGCCTGGCTTTTGCATCTCCTCCTCTCCTCTCCCTGCTTCTCTCTTGCGTTTTTCCCGTCTTCAAAGTTGCTTTGTGCATCCACGCCATGCACGGGGCTCTGTGTTTTCATCTCCCAGGTTAGGGAGAGCGGGGCATCTGTGCGGGCACGCTAATGGAAGGGCTTTCCCTGGGGGATCTCTGGGCAAGGACTGGGGCTATGGAGGAGGTGAAGGGAAGGAGCTGGGTGGAGCAGAGAGGCCTGGGGCCATGGGCAGGGATGAAAGGGCCTGCGGAGGGCTGGATGGGACACGTCCTGCATCCTGCCTGCAGCTGGGTGGATGTCTCCTGCTGAATCAGTCAAAGCCCAGGGATCTGCATAGGTGATCCGCTGAGTTCCAGCTGCGGCAGAGGTGACATTGGGTGTCTGTACCCATTTCCACCTGGGTAACTGATATTTGCACTTTTCCTAGCCCTGAGCTGGTTTGGAGAGTCTGAATTTGGAAAGAGTATTTTTTGGGGGAAATATTTCTCTTTGGGGGAATTGGTGCAGCAGAAACTCTGCTTTCTTGGAGCCTCTACCATGATTGACCTTAGCGCCAGGCAGGCTAGATTTGATTTACATTTGATTAACACTCAAGCCTCACCCTACAGATGGACTCTGTGAAGCAGCTTTGGATGGCAGCGTTACAATGGCATTAGCCCAGTGCAAGATAGGGCATCCTGGTTGCTGAGCAGCTTTCTGGGAAACCTCCTTGTCAAAAAGCAGCCTTCTTTCTGAAGAACTAAAATATGTCACCCTCGCTGTGAGCATCTAGCTACTCTGCGCTCCCTGCGAGACCAGAGCACATGCTCTAAACCTCCACAGATTTTCTTTAATTAAAACCAAAATGAGATGTAGTTGTCACCACGACGACAACAGCAACATTTAACACTTGGCAAGAGCCGGAACAAAGCACCGGAGGTGTTGGGGACTCGATCGGGGGTTGCTTATTTCCGAGAAAGCCCAAGGAGCACCCAGCAAGTGCCCGCTCGCTGGGGTGAGACGCCGGTGCTCAACGGGATGAGGTCAATCGAAGCAAAGAGTTCAGCGCTTCTGCAGCGCTGGGTTTCCAAAAGAGAACGAAGTTTCACAAAAACCTGGGTAATGCCAAACACATCCCTGCGAGGTGGGGCTGGGGCAGGCGCATGTGACCCTTTCCTCCCACCATGCCGGCTCTGGTGGGCTCTTCTCCCCGGGGCAGCGGGAGCAGGGACGGTCCCAGATGGGAGCAGGGAAATGGGAAGTGCTTGGCCTGCCCTGGCCTGGCCTCCAGCAGAACTGGTTTGCTGGGAGTGCCCTCTGTGCTGTGTGTGTGGTGCCAGACAGACGGTGCCAGACAGGACCTCACTGTGTCCCCGACGCCGCTGTCACAGCAGGCTGGCATCTCCCCAGCCCATGGGTGTCCCTGTGAGGGTCTGTGCTGAGCTCCATCCCTCTGGCTTGGGCCAGATCGACCTCTGGGAGGGGGTCAGAGAGGGAAGGCAGGCGTCTTGCCTCCTCACCACCCCCTCTCCTAAAGGATTTAGGGTAACATGGTGCCTGGCTGCATCGCGAGGCTATTCTGGCATCAGTGACCAGCGGGGAGCAGGTGAGCTGGGCTCAGCACTGTACCCATCCCAGGTGCTCTCGTGCTCAGTCCTGCAGCTCCGGCAGCACCACTGCCCTGTGCGCTGCCACCCTGCCGGCAGCGACCCTCACCCAGCCCCCTCCAGCCCTCCCGGGGAGGTGCTGTCAGTCCCCATCACACATATCGAGGTCCGTGGGACTGAGGACCTCCATGGGCACGCTGTGAGGCACATCTGAGCCAGATCTGCATTCCCATGTGATGTTTCTGCTCAGGGGACGCACACCGGGTCTGCAACCACCCCCAAACGCAGGTATGGGTCTGCGTGGCCTGACCACGTGCTGCCCCACTCGCCTGCGCCCCGAGCTGCTGCATGGGCTGGCCACTCTGCGGGGTTCAGCTCGTTCCTTTGCCAAAACCAAGCAGGTCGGGTCTGGAAACAGACGCCGACAGTAACACAAACGTGGTTTTCATTGTTGCGCAAGAGGCTTTATTGGGCTGGTGTCCTCCCCCCAAGGGCTGTTCCCCAGCCAGGACCTTTGTGCTGCTCACAGCTGGAGGTCCCCTCTCCTCCTGGGCCAGGCCTACATGAGGAACCTGGAGAGGTCCTCCTTGATTTCAGCTTCATCCCAGGGCCCGTGGATGTTGTCCTTGAGCAGCTGAAGGCGGATGAGGCAGTAAGGGCAGAGGCAGGAGATGGCGAGCAGCAGCGAGGCAAAGAGCACGGCGCCCACGCTGGAAACGGTGGCCAGCCCCGCCAGCGCTGCCAGCGCAAAGAGCACTGTCACCCCCACGTAGCATCGGGGTGTCTGGGCCTTCAGCTTCTTCTGCAGCATGGGCCAGAGGGCGAAGATCTGCATGGCAAAGGTGACCATGACGAAGGCGTGGAGGGAGCGAGGCAGGCGGGAGGCCAGGCACACCGAAGCAAAGATGGCCATGTTGAGGGACAGCGT